CATGAAAAATTACCAGTAAAAAACTTTTAAAAATGATTTATTAATGGCCTTTGTTAGTTAACTATGTCGGTTTAAAATTCTATTAAGTGCTATAAGTTGCATTAATTTTCTATGCTTAAGTTTCATTCTTATTTTCTCAGCAAACATTTATTAGTTAATAAAAAGTATGAAAGTAAAAATTATCCTTCTTTCCATCTTGCGATCACAGATCAATATGGGAATATCCATTTACAGTTATTAAAGCTTGAAAGAAGCATGTCTGCGATGTTATCGTCATGCGATGATTTGTAGATACTTTATTTTTTACTACGATATTTTCGACGACGATGGTTTTAAACTGCGAAGTTTTTGAACCGCTTTATTTTCGACGACGATGTTTTGTACCACAATGTTTTAGAACTGCGATGTTTTCTCCCACGATGTTTTGTAGCACGACGTTTTTGTCTTGCATTGTTTTCTCCGCAATGTTTTCGGCTGTAACCCGCTGGATGGCATGCATCGCAATAACGTCTTCCAATGTGTGCTGGAACGGCACACCAAGGAGCAATGAAACAGGAACCAGAAGGACTGAGCCAAAGCGATGCGAGATACTTAAACATGAAGTAGACATGACGTCATCTCATGGCAACCAATCAGCTATCCTCACAAATCAGCTTTCCAGATGATGTAATATCGAGTTTTGTTTTTGCATCTTAATTAAGCTGGAACAGTCAGTTCTTAATACAAACAGTGGCAGTGAAAAACAAAGTAGAAGTAATTGCTATATCCTTTCAAATAAGAACTAAACCTTATGTAAAAGTTAGAATTATTTCAAGGAGGAGAGATGATGCAGAAAAAAGGGTTACAATAGGTCATATTTTCAACAAAACGTATATGTGCATGCGCAAAAAGTTGGTAGCTTTGAGGTCAGGATTATAGATCATTCCGGATTATGGACGTCCGGATTAAAGACTTTGTACTGTACTTACATGCTCTCACATGTTGCTTGACCAAATCCAGTGACCAGGTGAGAGTTTCTCTCTGCAACAGATGGTGCTGCATTCTAATGAAACATGTTGCTGCCTATTGAAATTCTAAATTTCAGTATGTGAATTGTAAACATACAATTAACAGTTTCAAGAACAACTAGTTCTGCTTTTCAAATATGAAAAACTAATAAGTAGTTTTTGATTGTGAGCAACATACACTTTTGTATAAATACCCTTTTTCTGTTTTTTTATATTTGATTAGAAATGGACCAGAAAAATCAAGTCCACAGTATTAAATACAAACTCTGGGTTAACTCTTTCATGAGGTAAATTTCCCCTACATTATTTACATACAACTGGTTTAACCTTAAAACATGTTACATATTCATGTACAATCTTTTGAGCTATATATTGACTATTAATAACCCCAAATTTACTGGGAACCTGATGCAATAAAGCTTACGCACTACTATTTTAAAGTCTCCCTTGCACTCTCAAAAGAGAATCCTTGTCTAGAAATGGAAATAAAAATGTTAGCATACTTTTAGAACAAATACAATTCTTATTTTTTAAGGAGAATATCCTTGCCGAAATGTTGTGATTGTACATACCTTTTGATGATTTTCTCAATGTCATCCATTTCTCTAACAGTTAGAAAAACTATTAAATTTCCCCCTTACTATTGCTGTAAATCTGCAAACAAAACACACATATAATACAAACATAGTTATTACTAACATTAAAAATATGATCTAAAACAAGAGAGTTTATATTTTGATTATCTAAGTCATTGTCCTTAAGTGTGAGTTCCTTGATGTATTTCTCATCAGCCATATCAGATGAAATTATTTCACATGGCTTTGGTTCTTCCTTAGTTATGAATGTTGGTCCATACTACCATAAATCATTATGAAGAAGATCCTTAGGTTCACATCCACATGATATCAAATCAGCTGGATTATATGAGTACTAACATAGTACCAGTCTTGATTAGCAGCCATACTGCGAATAACTGACATTCTTTTAGCAACAGATGCCTTTAGTTGATGAAGTTTTTTCTTAATCTGTGCTAACACTATTCATGAATCAGTAAAATAATACACCTTGTCTATATGATGCTGAATGGCCTCTAATAGTATTTTCATTAGTTTTACCAACAGAACTGCACCACAAAGTTCTAAACTAAGAATGGTAATTGACTTCAAAGGTAAAACACAGGACTTGATGCAGAGAAGTCTTGATGAACATTCATTCAAAGGTGAGATACATTTCTCATAAATTGCAGCACCATAGTTTTCTAACTAGCATTGCAGAATCCTATTATTTCTATCTGCTGTACTTAATCAGTTAGAACAAATCTAGGGATGTGATAATCATTAACTGTTTTAAGACTATGCAGAAATGCCTTCCATTCTTCAAAGTCATTTTTAGAAAGAGTTGTGTTCCAGTTTATTTTTAAGGCCAAAGTTTTGGTAGAAATATTTGAGCCTTTGATGTAGCAGGTCCAGTTAAACCTATTGGATCAAAGAGTGTTGATAAGACATCTGTTTTCACTGCTGTCTCTCCCATATCAAGTAGTTTTAAATCATAAGCAAAACTCTGTAGCCATATGCTATGACATTCCCAGGGCTTTTATAACCTGAGGCTTATCAGTAACTTGAAAAGAATAACCATGTGTTACATTTTCTCTATTATTCGGTAGTTTAGTATATTTGAACGACAATTGTGTAACTGATCCCAGCACGTTTTCTAGGAGACAGATTAACCATGTTTGTAACTCTGGCTTTTTGCATTGTAGCAAGAGCTGCATTTCAGCATTAGCTGTAGCCATAATGTCATCTACGTAACAGTCCTTCAGTATGACTCTTAAGGCATAAAGAAGTTCAGTCGCTTCATTCATGACTAACTACTGTAGGACCCTTGTTGCAAGGAACAGTGTACTTGCTGTTAAGAGTTTTAGTCTTCAGATTTCATAATTGTTACTTTCAGAATCCTGTGTTTATTCTTCCATTTTGGTAATTTCTTTATTGATGGCAGGGACGTCTTAGTTTTCATCAACATTTTTAGAATACCTGTTCTTAAGTTTCTGATGTCCATTTGAATACTTTGAAGTGATCTATACTTTATTTTAATTTTGTTTTTATTTACATTATCACCATATTCCCCAAATATGTTTTCTAATCTGGTTAGGTTTTCTTTTAATGTTGTTTTACTTCTGTCTAATGCCAGCATTTTGTTCTCTACTGCAGTTCAACAGACCAGTGTACTATATTTCTATAATTCTACATTAAATGAGTGAACAGTGTAAAAAAGAACGCAAAAAACTATTAACGGTAATTACTAATAAGTACCAGTACATGCTCTAACATGTTGCTTGGCCAAATCCAGTGGCCAAGTGAGAGTTTCTCTCTCTCTACATTAAGTAGTACTGTATTCTAACTTAACATTAAAATTTAATAAATTGAGAAGGATTATACTTTTACATTGGTAATGAAATTGAAGTTCTATGTTTAAACATAGGTTTGTATGTGTATCACATTAATATATTGAATTATGATATGCAAAATTTTTACTCCCGCATAGTTTTCAGGATTTTTGAAGTCGAATTACAATCACCCTTGTTTATGACACATAGTTTTTATGAAAGATCTGCAGTCATGGAAATAAATTTGGAGAGGATGTTTTACTTTTATGTATGTATATAAAAAAGGGCCAAGAAGTGAAAATATTGTACAGTGTTCTTTTTAGATAATGAGTGTAGAAAAATGGGACTGAAAGAGGTACTAATATAGGGCAATCTTTGTTTTAATTACTTAGTGAGTATATATCAGTATATATTATAGAATTAGATATAATCTGTGTAGTATATTGCTAAGTTTTAAACCTTTTATATCAGCCAGAGTATACAACAGACTTTCAGCATTAGGGCAGGTATATGTGGGAATTATAAATGTAGTTATTTTAACAGATCATTTTCCAATTGTTAAGTTTCAAGCTTTTTACATCACTCAGAGTATATGACAGACTTCAGCTTTCAGCTGTAGGTGTGCATCGAAATTATAAATCTAGTGATCTTAAAAGGTCATTTGCCAATAAGATATTAATAGGCAGCATTATTTTTTCTGCATTTTAATTGTTTTATGTCCCATTACAGAATTGTTGTGATTCAGCTTAATACCCTTTTTTAAATGTGCTACTCAGTATAACATTAATCATTTTTAAAAAAAAATATTTAATCTGAATAGCGCTATTTTATACTATTAATGTTACACAGAAAGTAGATTTCTGATACTTTATTACTAGTGATTTGCAAAATTTTTAACTGCACTTCGTGGTTATACTGTTGTCTGCATCCATAATAAAATGTAATGCTTATGTTTGTCATTTTGTAGTAATGTATAGATTGTAAGCTTCTTTGTATGTTATTGCTTTTAATTTTGTTCGAAAAGAAAAAAAGAATGCTGCCTATTAATATCTTTATTGGCAAATGACCTGTTAAGATCACTAGATTTATAATTTCTATGCACACCTACAGCTGAAAGCTGAAGTCTGTCATAAACTCTTTGATGTAAAAGGCTTGAAATTTAACAATTGGCAAATGATCTGTTAAAATAACTACATTTATAATTCCCACACATACCTTCCCTAATGCTGAAAGTCTGTTGTATACTCTGGCTGATATAAAAGGTTTAAAACTTAGCAATTTGCTAGACAGATTATATCTTATTCTATCATATTTGTTTTTATGTTTAGATTATTTTGGAATTAAAAAAAATGCAGAAATAAATGAAACTCTTAAAACTGAAATCCTTTTTGTATTGACTTCTAACTTTATTAGATGGTAATATTCTAATAGTTTTATGAAGTTACAGAATAGATATATGTTTATATAAAATATATATTGGATTTTTTTGTATGTATTAATTTTTTAAACTTTCTGTTGATAAGCTTTTGTTGACTATAATCTGAAGTTTTTATAGCTCCCTTTTCTTTTTCTTTTCTTTTTTTTTTTTTTTTAATTTTTTATTTCAGGTTGTTCCAGTTAATTGGGGTAAAGGTAACAGAAATCCTGTGGATTTTGTTCATTTTTATTCAAAACATCTTGGAGTTATTAAAAATGCTATGAATGTGCAGGAAGTATCAGCACTTCTACCAAAAACATTTGAAGAAATCCAAGTTCATGTGCTGTGCCGCCGAACCGATGAGTTTGCCTTCCGAGTGGCCAGATTCTGTTTTGAGAAACTTTGGGTAGATGCTGCAAACAGTAGTCAATTATAAGGAATTTTTGTGCTAATGAGAATTAGTGTGTATTTATTAAAATGTAACATTTATGTAAAGTTTTTATTTTCCATCATTTAATTTGGTATAGTTTGCATATAAGTTCTAAAAATATCTGTATTTTTCAAAATTATATTTAATGTTATAACACAGTCTTTTGATTTATTTTGGCAATAGATTAAAACAATTAAACTTTTATGTAATTCTAATCTATTGGAATTTCCCCATTTAGCATCATCTGCATTATAGTTAAATGGAAAGTATGATAAGCATTTTGTTTAAATTTTAAAGTTTCATTTGAAAAATCATATTATTTACTTAAAAATTAACAATTTTTTTTGGCTTGATACTGAAATATGTCTCTCTTATAGAATATTTCATTTTCATGTGTTCAGAAAAATCATTTTTGTATTTTTAAGTATTATTTTAAGTATTTTAATGTATATTTTCTTTCATTTAAATTCAAGTTTGGTGTTAAGAATCAAATGTTTTATAATTTTAAATCAAAAATTTAAAATCGGCAAAAATTCATTGTATATTATTCATTTAAGATAATTTACTTAAGATTAATTTAAGATCATTTCAAATTTCATTCAAAATTTGAGTACTGGGATTGTTACATCTATAGTTAATCACATTATTTTTGTAATTTATGCAGCTGCTTTTTATGACCTATGAAAAAGATCTTCATTATAAGAAAAATAACTCACATTTTTGAAGTTGATGGTTTTGCTGATAATATTACTTAATAAGGATGATTCAGAACATATATTAGGGCGAAACAACTGGATTATGTACCTTTTATTCTGAAAATCATATTTTAGTTTTCATTTGCAGAATACATTTGACTTGGTTTTCAAACAAAATTGGCAATAATGCTAATAATTTTATTATTCTAAACTTTTTTTCTGTAGACTTCAGTTTTAAAATAATAAAACATTCATAAATTAAAAGGTTGTTATTATTATTATTATTATTATTTAAGGATGGAAGATTGACATGTTAATGTAGGTAATGCTTAGCTTTGCTTAACATTTTGATTGTGGATTTTTATTTGATATCCTAATACATTTATGTGTTCATATACTGCATTTTGATATTAAGTAAAGCAATGTGATATATCTTTTCAGTATAATATAAACATAAAGTTGAAATAACTGAAATATTAGCTATGTAAGGTTATCTTTAATCATTGAATTGTTGGGAATGTAATATGCATTAAAATTCATGCATTAATGAAATATTTATCAGGTTTTGTTTGGTAATTTTAGAAAACATATGCATTAATTTTATTTTATTTAAAAAAATGTTCATTATGTCAGTTTTTTAGCTGTTTAAAGAATAACTTAGTGGTAATTTAAAGTAGAATGCAGGAAGAAGTAATGTGTGACAGTATTTAATTGAATTATAAGTGCAATTACAGTGTAATGTGATATGTGTGCTGGTAATAGACCAGTTATTTTAACTGATAAATAATAAAAAAAATAATATTTAACCTTTCAATTTATTTTTGGTTATTGCAGAGTATTATTTTGTTAACGGTTTTATGAAATTATGAGCAAGATGTATTTTAAAGTATATGATAAAAATTTTATGTCATCTTTTTAATTGCTAGAGCATAATCATAAAAAGGTAATTTACATAAAATGCAATAAAGATCTTGTTAATTTTGCAACAAAAATCGGCTGAAATAGGGTTCTTTCTACAAACCTGAATGGAACTATCAAATTAAATAGTAACCGTGGCATTTGAAGATAATAGCTCGTCAGTAGTATAAGTGTTTTAAAATTAAAATTATATATTTATTGAATTATAATTGTGATCAGGTTGCAAACTAAATAATTCTGAACAAAATACAGTTTTAAGCTGGCATAGCTTTACCATGAGACTTGACTAGGAAGCAAAGAGACTTGATGACAGGCTGGAGAAATTTAAGTGGCTGTCTGATCTCTTCATCAGAAAAGTCTTGTAAATTTTTCACTAATTCATATAAGATGGCCTACTTCCTCAAGTAATGCCATATCACTGCAAAGAGGTACTATATATCCAGCTTCCAATATGATAATCTATAACTAATTACCTTTTTTTTTGCACTTTTGTTATGTGTAACTGCATTCATAAATCTTAACATGGTTTTTCTTTATTAAGAAAAAGTCAGTTTAAGATTTGAAATGTACTGAATATGTAAGTTAATAATCCATCTTCTAAAATATGCATTATATTGATTTAACTAAATTACCATGATATTTAAAATGTGCTAGTGATGTTCATTAGATGTTCATGAATGTAAATGATTTCATCTGATATATCATAATTATATTAATATTTATATACTCAAAGTAAATATATACAAATATCATTATTGTGTTTCCTTGGCAATAAGACTGTCTTAGATTAATTTTTACTTCAAAATACAGATTAGGGCTTATTTTCTGGGGATAGCTTATTAATTTATACATAGTAATTAGCATTTATCTATTTGCAATAACTGCATTCATTCGCATATTCAAGAACATACATTAATTCATGTATTAAAATTGACATTTGTTCAAGTGCAGTCATGTTGTCATCTTTTAGGACATCATCATAAAACTTTATACCTCAGATTCTGGTCTGATTTTCTTGTGAATCAGTTTGTTACAGAATTGGCCCTAAACTATCATGTTTAGCAGTACAGCTCTTTAACAATGACTTCTTGTTAGTGTAGCCAGCTCATAGTGTATCGATAGTACACCTGTCATGTATCTTAACCCATGAATTCTTCATTCAGGTAAGAATCTATTGCAGGTCATTATACTTTGATCTGCATTTTCGGAGATATAGCTTTACTTTCCAGAATGCTGTAAGATACTTACTGGGGTATCTTCATCAGTACATTATGAAATAGCTTTTTTTAGGCATCAAAATATTATATAATAATCCTTTTTAAATCTATTATTAAATCAAGTATTAATTAGAGACTTATAAAAACTGTTAAGAATGATGAAATATTCAAAAGCGGTTAAAAATTTCAGGTATAAAATTTCTTTATTTCACACTAGTGTATTAAGTATGTCTGTCATAACACAATAGCATATTAAATTATAAAAAACTGGGTAGTTATAACCACGTGTATTCAGTAGCAAGTGTATGCATGTTTTAACTCTATACCCCCCATCAGCAATTCAGTAATAAGTCTGTGTGATGATGTTAAAAAGGGCTTATAATTTGAATGTCTTTAAAAACATGCTAGGGCTTTTTTTTTTTCCCCTCCCAGTGAGGTCTTATTTTCAGCGAAACATGGTATATGAAAATATGTGAAAACATGTATAATATTCTTCATTTGATGAAATGTGAAATAATTAAAAGGTAAAGCAATTAAAAAATTAATCTTACTTTTTATATATTTTAGAATTAAAAATGCTGAAAGAAAAAATATTATTTTGAATTGTGTTATTTAAAATGCCATATTACATGGTACACAGTTCATAAACATGAACTGTAAAAGAATAAAAATCTTAAAGAATGTACTGCCATGTGAAGTATTAGTTCAGATTTTAAAGTTTTTTTTTTTTTAAAATTTATTATTATTATTATTTTGTACATATTAGGTTATTTAAAATTTTGTTCATTTTTCAGTTTATTCGTTTAAAAATATTTATTATTTATGGATAGCATTTATTTATTTTAGAGTTTTATATTTATTCAAAAGTCAAGCCGTAAGAGTATATTTTATTAAATATATATTCTGTCATAATATTGCATTTTCAGATTCCAAATAAGGAGTTTGTATTCAGAGCTAAAGAATTATGTAAATTGGTGATATTTTTTGTGATGTTATTCTCTATTTTAAATAAAATTTGTTTTGAAGGAAGTTACTTTTTATTTAAACTTTATTACAGTACCTGTTCATAATATGTTATAAAATTATCAAAACTTTTTTTTATGTGTATATGGTTTTCACACAGAATGTATTTGTCTAGATGAAATCTACAGTGTGTTAAATAATGTTTAGAAAAAGTGAAAATTTTTTCTAGTGATGACTTTATTTCTATTAAGGTTTACTCTGAAGGAAATAATTTTTCTTGGGTTTTAATGTTGGTTTAACTTTAGATAAAAAATATTTCATCAGAACTGTAAAACTACAGCATTGAACAGGAAGTTTAATTTAATCTTAAAAAAGAAAGAAAAAACTTTGCATCTGCTAAATCCAAAACCTTGACTCAAAAGGATTAACTGCAGCTATCGGTTTTCCCTCATCTGCTATGTGCATCATCTAAAGTTTGTCTTCAATATTTAATTGAAATGTTTGTTTTAGTACAGCCCTCAGATGTAGTATGGTCGAATGTAAAATGCTGCTGGCACATAACCAGGACTGTTCCCAGAGGCAGTGTGGCTCCTTGGGTAGCAGAATTTAAGAGCCACATACATAAATTACAGCAGGTGGCAGAAAGCCGTGCACCAGCCCTGTGCATAATGTAGTGCAATATTTGTTGATTTAAAGATTGTTGATGGAAGTAATATAAAAATGCATGTAAAATATTGTAATTTTTTTTAGTAATACCTGAAAGATATCAGATGCATAATATTTCTGAGCAATTTTCCAGTTTATAAAAAATCGAAGATGAAAGCATTTAAATTCCCCTTCAGACAAGCATTTGTAATGCAAAAACCGAATAGATCATTAACCCTTTCCGGCACGCTACCTTTTAAAGTCGGAGTTTTTATTAAAAAAAAAAAAATAGGTAGGCAGTCTAATTAAGCCTAGAGGAGTACACAAGAAAAATCTTGTGAAAATAGCATTTATCGTTTTGATTCTGTGGGTGTGCCCAAAGTGGCACACTGATTGAACAGAGCTTTGAAAAGAGTGCTGAAACAAGCATTGTTGTCAATGAAGACCGATGAGATGCGGAGGAACAAAGAATACAGACTCTCAGTTATCCTAGATTATCGGTGAGCCCGGTCTGGGCACACCTAGGGTTCGCCGTTTGATTTTGGGCAAGATTTCAAGGTAAAAATTTAAAACTAATATAGAATAAGGAGATTAGCATACAGCCAAAAAAATAACATAGAAATTTCTTTTCAAACAATTCCTTTTATACCCTAAAAAAATCTGGAAAATTTCTTTGAAAAATGAGGGTCTTAAAAAACTAAACATGGCTAAAATATATGGACTGGTTTGTGTTGAGCTGCCATCTACTATAAATAAAGAAGGTTCAGAGTAACCTATAAATAATTTTTCATTCAATTTTTCTGTGCGTAAAACACAGAAAAATGATGATATGTGATATGTATGAAAATGATGATGATGGTATGATACTTCTATAAACTATGAGCTTGGTATTTTCCTGCACCTGTAATTGATCAGCATAATCAAGATTCCTTTGGTTACCCCTTCCCCCCGCAAAAAAAAATTATACTGAGCTGTGTAAGGTAATAAGGTAGAAGTTATGTGAAATATAATAAATATAAG